GGGGTGATTCAGTAAAGTTTCTATTGAGTTCAACCAAAACAGGATCCCTCCCAGAAGATAATTCGTGCATGATACTACACTAGATGCTATAACTTTGGCCACGCAAAAGTCGATTAGGTCGGGGGTTCTCTTTTGGTCCGGTGGCCAGTATGCAGGTGCACCTGAGGAAGAGGGGGGGGGGGGGGGCAGGTTAAGGTTCGTTATTGCAGCGTACAACTGCCGCCACTTAGGTGTGATTAGACGAGATCTTTATAATATCCGCCAGCTAGCAATCTACTGCCGAAAGTTTTAAAGAACTTTTCATATTCTTATTTGTTGATTGAATGTCTGGGGGGATATGAATTGTGGATATTGTTAACGGGCCCTTTATAGCTTCAACGATAGCACTGGTGGCCTGAATATAGCTTCTGTGCGGTACGAATTTATATGAGTATGCTTTGGCAGCCAACTTGCGCTCCATATTACTATTTTTAGGGGACCGAAGACGAGTAATTTTTGCTCGTAAGGGTAACGAGGAGATTCTTCACTGTTGTGATTTGTTGCATGACTTGCTTTAGCAGGCCTATCATTTCCTGCATCCCGTTCGTGTTTTGGGATTTCGTTACAGTTTTGCTTATAGTTTATGGGGGAAGTTTGACACCTGGAAAGTAAGAAAGCATTTGATTCGGATTTGATTGTGAGACACCAGGAACTGGTCTTTATTGCACTTCATTTTCTTGGGCGCTAGTGTTCGTTGGTGTTTTTTTTTCCTTAAAGCTGGGTATTTAATTTTTTCCATGTTCTTATAAACCGAAGAACCTTTGTAGTTTGCTGGGTGGTAACCGTCACAATGAGCGCATTTGACGTCATCTGACCGCGTTTTTCGTTAGAATTCTGCAGATACATATGTAGGTATATGTCTCCCTGCGCATTTAATGCACACAGGTTTTCTCTGGCAGGATGCTTTCGTGTGACCATACTGTTGGCAGTTTCTACATTGGGAATTTCTTTGGGGCGCGGGGGCTCGAATGTGATTTTTGAGTGAAATAGAGATTTTACTTCAGTGACATAGATGAGTGGTCGAGATTTTTTTCTTACTCAGTGGAACATACATTTTATGTCCAAACTGGGGATGCCACCTCCATTAAGGCTAACCCATAGAACGCCCTAAGCTTTGAACAATCTTAATTTTATTTTTGTTTTTACTACATTGATAAGAGTAGTGGATGCACTCGCTTCGAAAAGGTAAAATACAAATATGAGCTTTCCAACTTGTTTGCATTTCTTGTTATTTCTTCAGAATTTGTATCTACATTCACATGTATGTACATTAGGGTGGTTCAAAACAGTAAACTCGGAATTGTAATGCTCTCAACCCCTAGGATTGTTCTATATCGAAAAAAAGTATACCCCTATTTTTTTATTTTGAAATCAAAAAATATTTAGAGGTCGCTCAGATACATATTATACTTTTTTTCGATATAGAACAATCCTAGGGGGTGAGAGCATAAAAATTCCGACTTTACTTTTCCCCACGTGTATTTTTGGACCACCCTAATGTACATCCTAGTGTAATATATGAAATGCATTAAAGTTTGACCACGTACAAAAGGGTACTTTCAAAGGAGAAGTTGTGAAATGGAAGGAAAAATAGATTTTTAGAAAAATAAATTAAAGTCAAAGGTCAGCATCATGATAAAAACCCTTTTTGTATAGTTTGTAAATTTTTTATTATTTATCAAGAATTGGAATTCTAGCACAGGAATCAAAAGCTCTTTTCTTGATAGATTATCACGATTGAAAATACTATTGACAAGCGTTTACAAATTGAAATTTCGTATGAAAAATATAAATTTTGCATATTAAAAAATTTGTTTCTATCATTAAAAACTGCATGTGCCGGCATTCGAACCTGCGACACACAAAATTTATAGCCGACATCTCTACCTACTCGCCTACAGCAGTCACACGCTTGTTTGCTTTTAAATTCATATTTTTCATATGTGACAGTGAAATCAGTTCCACTCATGTGGGAATCGTAGCACTTTTTATTTTATAAATATTCGCAGAGAATGCGTTGGAAGATTTTACTTGATAAAAATAGTAATAAAATTTCTTTGCAATTATTTGCAATCAATAAAACACAGAATTAAGCGATAAATATCCACCCCTGATTGCCATTTTATCGTAAGCCACAAAAGGTAAATTTTACAGGAGAGCTTTTTTTTTTAAATTTTCCCTTAAATTGGATGTAAATGGACAACAACATTATTTAATGCTAGCTTTCTAATAGGACAATTTATTTTTTGCATAACCTATTGTCTATAGGTAAAATGGCTCTTACGATATATTTCTTGAACATGCTGGTATAGTTTTTATGTTGCATAATATGGGCATTTATAAACGCAGGGTGCTGGTACTTTAAGGATTGTTTGAAAAAACTGAATTTTAAGAAAATTATTTAAATAAAAACACTGCCAAACAGCAGAATAAGCTCAACATATTTTCAACTTTAACTGTTTGGTGCATCTACTAGATTGTCCACAAATTTTCTTCGTGGAGACAATCTTAAAGCTCATTCAATTCTCTAACAATCTAAAATGACCACATTGACGCCACTACTTGGTATTTTTTGACGTTTTTTTTTTAAGAATGAGACAAAAGTAAAATTTAATTTATGACCAGAATTTATGAACATTCATATTAGGGAGATTTTTGGCAAATTTCGAAAACAGTTGTTATATTTCTGGACTCGTTGTTAAATCTTGCTATTGGAGAATAAAATTGCTAGATGTAAACTTTCAATCCCGAGAATCAAATCAACCACTGCAATTTTATAAAAAGAAGACTGAAACAAAAACAAAAACAAGTAAGATCATGAACATCTGAAAATTTTACTTTAGCAGATTACTGCATTTGAAAAAATGTATATATTCACAGGATACGTAGATAGAGGAGATACATACATATATAAAATATCATATTTAAACAATCAGAGGTATGGAAGATATACCTTATATAGCACCAATCTAAGTGATTTTCACTGCTGTGCGATCGGTATGTAAACCGATTTTCTCAGTAGACTTTGTATTATTCTTTATAGAATAGCTTACGAAATTTATCGACTTTAGCTGTCCAAATAAAGGAGTTTTACAGTAAAGCCCTATATCTGAACAATCAGTTGTATGGAGGCAATAAATATGTTATAGTGACCCGATCTTTGTTAATTTTACTGCAAACTTTCTGTTGATAATGGGTGAAAATAGTGCGAAATTTCATGTTTCTAGCTGCATAAATGGAGAAGTTATAGCAAGGAATATCATATCTGAACAATCATTTGTATAAAGGCTATAGGTTATAGCGACCCGATCTTCGCCATTTTCACTGTAAGTATTTTGTTGATCATGGGTGGAAGTATCTTCTTATATCTGAACAATCAGTTGTATGGGAGCTATAGGTTATAGTGTCCCGATCTTTGTAATTTTGACTCTAAGTTTTCTATTGATAATGGGTGGAAGTATTGCAAAATATCATGTTCTTAGCTGCATAAATGTAGAAGTTATAACGAAAAATCTCATATTTGAACAATCAGTTGTATGGGAGCTATAACTTATAGTGGTGCGATTATTCCGGTTCCGACAAATGATTAATACATTATAAAAATACACCCACCTACCGAATTTCATCCGGATATCTCGAAAACTGAGAGACTATATTGCATACAAACAGACGGACGGACAGACAGACAGACAGACAGACAGACGGACGGACATGGCTAAATCGACTCAGCTCGATGTTCTGATCATTTAAGTATACATTTTGATGGGTCTATCTCTTCTTATTCTGGTACTTACAAACATCGGACCAAAGTTATAGTACCATTTCATGCTCATGAAAGGTATAATAATTATTCTTTTTAAAGCCATAAAAATTTTTTTCTCAAAATAAAATATATCTGTACTTATATTTTATTTTTAAATGATTATAATCAAACAAATTATAGAAAAATTGAAAAAAAAGATACTCCGCTGCCCAAGGCCTCGACATCTGGTCTCTCGAATAGAACGCCAGTGGTTTGGCCACTCGACCAATATTGAAGCAGCGCCAGCAAAATGACATACAAGTGCTTTCTGTCGATAGAGCTTTTCGGTATAAAAGTTGGCAAAGAAGCTATTTTTGTAAAACTTTCATGCCAGAACAAAAAAAAAAATATTTCAAACTCTATTGCCTTTTACGAATTGTCTTACAAAAGACTTTCGACTATAATATCATAGCGAGAATTGCCCTATTATTTCCATAGAAGACTGAGTACCACCAAAACATTAAAAGAATCAAAAGAATTGATTGTTAAAGTAGAAACCAATTTAAACTAAAGGCTTTCGCTTAGGTGAAAAAGAGTGAACTTGTGCTCCACTTCCACCCATTCCATTACTCTTAAAAATATTTTTTCGCACAAAAAACTGCCACTCACCATGGCTACTCGTGCTTGCTTTCGCTCTCTCGCTACCAGTCAAAGGTTGCATAAATTTTGCATACTAAAATTGCTCTGCCTGTTGTCCTAAATGCAATTATATTGTTTGCGCAACAATCGCGCCCCCACAATAACCCAAAGTTCAAAGGTGAAGTGCTGCCGCTGACGTTGGCTTATGCCGACTTAATTTACGCACAACAATAAAAACAAGGCAAACAAAAATTGAAAGGAGCCACTGGAACAAATGTCACTAACAAATTCATGCATAAGTATAGCGGCTGCTGGCGGTGGATGAGGGAGATATGAATATTTGCGCGCTTTGTTTCTGTGTAATTCAGCTTAAGTTCACTGCTGCTGTCGTCGAGAATGCAACGGCAATGACTTAATCAAAAGTGAAAAAGCAATTAATTAAATTTCACTTCAAAAGCGAATGCCAATATGAAGCGCAAACAAGTCGCTTAGCATCGCTTCAATGTAATTACTAAATACTTGATGAATGCACAAATTTCTATTTTCTAATTTCTAGTTTCCAACAATTCTCGGTACTCACCAATTATTGTGATGAGTATCACCAGGCCCAGCACAACCGATGTGGTTGCCATCCGCAGCAATTCACCAAAATCCTCATCGCTTGCGGTCGCATTGCCGCTGGTCGTATTACCAACGCTGCCATTCAAGATAAGGTCACTTCCGTTGTCGTCGCTGTCGAAGAGCAAACTCGTACCATTCCCACTGGTGTCCGCCTCCAGCAGCAGTGTGTCGTTGATTAGCATCGCACCGAGGCCAACGGCGACGCCGCTATACAAATTCTCCGCTGCCGTTGTCGCTGTCGCTGTGGCAGCCGCTTTGGCAGCAGTCAGCACTGTGGTGGCAGTTGTGGTGAGGGCGGTGTTAAGCGTCGGCACAGCGTAGGAAGAAGCAGCGAGCATGGTGTGCAGCGGCTGATGATGGAAGTGACGTTGTGCACGTGGCGATTGCCCTCGACTATCGTCTATGCTATCGCTCCCCACAGCATTGTAGGTGCTATAGCTGATGGAGCTGTGACTGGAATGGGAACCATGTTTGTGGCTGAGTCCCGCTATGTCGGCTGTCGTCGTCGTCGCTTCTGTGGTCGTGGCAGTGGCAGTGATGCTGGTGGTGTTGGGTGCATTTGCAGCCATTCTGTGCAGGCTGCTGCTTTGATTATAGTGCTCAACGAACTGGTGCTGCTGGAAGTTATAGGGAAGCATCGTTTGTGAAAGAGTTGGCCTCCTGGTCGGTGAGCGTCTGTGTGCGCGGCTCTCCGTATTGCTATTGTTTCGGTTGCTTTTGGTGCTACGCCGCGTTGGAGCGTTAATGTGGGAGGAGGCGATGACGTACGAGCTGCTACCACTCTTGTCGCTTCTGCTGATATTGCTTCTCCTGCTGCTGCCGCCGCCGCCGTCCCCAATGTAAATGTAGTCGTGTGCATCTGTAAATAAAGGAAATTGAATAGACTCAGTCATTCGAAAGTTCTGCCACCCACAACTTATCTAATCTAAAGCGCACCAGTAAAGTATGACTTACTTAATTGAAAGTGAATGAGAGTCAGTTGTAAAGGGGAGGGGGGGCTTGGTGGTACGGCCGATATTTTATTGTGCCTGTGGCCGCGAATGAGGCTTATTTGTCAGTGTCACAGACAATCCATAAATATGGCGGCGATGACGAGATGGAGATTTTCATGATGCCAGCTGGCATAAATTATGTACTTTGCTGTTGTTGCTATTGTTGGCGTTTATGAGCCCCAAGGTAAATGCAAAAAGGCAAGGAAATTAAACCATGATTTATTTGTTTTGCATGATTTTTTTTTTTTTTTTTTAGAATTGGTCAAGGTAATACTCAATTTATATTTTCTGCAATTTTTGCCAAATTTTATTCATACCTACATTTTACTCTTAGTTTTAATTTCTTGTTTGCATTTTTGCTAAACTTTTCTTTTGGCATTTGTACACTTTTGGTTATATTTTTCATTCCTTCTCTTCTATTGATTATTTTACTTCGCCTTGTCGGCGGCACCCTCTCTATCATGCTAATTTTAGTTTACCATTTTTCAGCTCAGCATTCTTTCCTATTTTGAGGCTCAAACCGGAATTAACCGGAAAAAAATTATGGCAAACAAAAACGATGCGATTAAGGCGAAAAATGTGGGAATTGTCATCGGCCAGTAATGAAATTGCGTTGCTCAGCCATTAAGGATTTTCGGCCTGTGCGTGTGAATGCGTGCATGCATTTGCGGTTGCCGCACCCAAATGCTGTTCTAAGATAATAATATCTCGCCTCTGCATGGTGAATATTGGACCGAAATGCCGCATTTTTGAACGCAAAATACGGTATTTTGTTGATAATGTAGGCGGCAAAGGGTTGTCTGCCGTTTTGTGTTTGGGATTAGTGTAGTGCTGATGGTTTTAGAAAAGTTTACTTGCCTAAGGACAGCTCGCCGACTAACTAACTTAAAAATTTCTTTTGTAGCTTCCAGCTACAGAAATCAGGATGCGTAAACAAAATGTTGAGCAATAAGGATTAAAATAATAGCTTAAAGTTTTAGGTAATTTTACACATTATTGGCGTGCTTTTTTGATGTCTATTGTTGTTTGCAGCGAAAATTTAATGTTAAAAGTCACAACCACGTTTTTCTTCTTGGAAAACTATTAGCATCACAAAGCGAATACTTGGTTGTATTTTTTTTTTTTAATTTTGGTACACCTTTTGGTACACAAAAAAAGATGTAAGTGGCAACCTGGATTCTATCACTGGAAATATTGATATTGACAGGCAATGTCTGTGAAGTTGGCAAACAATATGACGCAAGAGGACAAAAAAAAACAGGTCTGAGTAGTTGTTCAATAGTTCTGGAGTTCCTGTAAATTAAAAAGAAAGTTCTGCAAAATTGGCCAACACATTTTTCCAAAAAGTCGAAAAAGCTGGTTATTTCAAAAAAGAAAAACATAAAAATTAAAACTGTTCTGAGTAGCTTTTCAGTAGTTCAATAGACTTTAAAAATGAAAAAGAAAGTTTTGCAAAATTACGCGGAAGAAAATTAAAAAAAAAAACGAAAAAGCTAAATTAAAAAACTGTTCTGAATAGCTTTTCAATTGTTCTAGATCTCTTGGAAAGCAAACCACAGTTCTTCAAAATTACGCAAAAATATTTTTTTTTCCAAAAAAGTTAAACTATCGAATAAAAATTAAAACTGTTTTGAGTAGCTTTCCGATAGTTCTAGAGTTCCTGAATTGGAAAAAAGTTCTGCAAAATTACAGCGAAAAAAGGATTTTTTTCCAAAAAAGTCGAAAAAATTTTAATTATTGAAAAAAAAAATTAAATTAAAACTGTTCTGAGTAGCTTTTAAATAGTTAAATAGAGTTTCTGAAAACAAAAAAGGTCTGATATGTAAATACATAACACTTCTGAGAAAAAAGTTGAAACATTTGTTGAGTTTTTTTTTTAGTTTTCTATAAAGCTATAAACTTGTATTTTTATCAATTTTGTTATGAAATCAACATCGAAAATTAAAAAAAAAACAAATAAAGAAACATTAGTGAAAAACAGTATACCTTTGAAATGGGGGTGCTGTTGATTTGACCGATACTGTACATATAATTTGCTTTGTAGAGCCCTGTAAAAAATAAATATCAAATATAAATTTTTCGTACTACCATAAAAAAACGTCAAACGCAAGTTTTTATTCAACTTATTAAAAAAACTTTCGGAACAATTTGATAAATATTATTCTGCACATTTGCTTCGAAATTGACTTTAGAGCTGTGATCTAGTGAACTTTTTCTTATAGAATCAGAATCTGCTAGGAAAGATATAGGAAAAATACTGACCCGCCCTAATATACATACACATGTTCTCGATTTTTCGTCATTGACGGCCGACACGTGATACTAAATCGGGAATTCGCGCATTAGTGTTTTATTTAAAATTTTTATTAATTAGCGGACTTACCGCTTAAAGAACTAAAATACAATAAGCCTTGTCTTTTGCTAAGTATGTAGTATGGACTACCTTCATGAGGATTCATAGCGTTGTTTCAATACATACATATTAGCACAATCTCACCTTTAAATTTTGTCATATTTGTATGACTGCCAATGCCCGCCGCTGCTGTTGCGACGACTATTTTTCCGCTGCTAATTTCGCACTTTTTCCAATTTTTTCTGCACAATTTCTTTTGTATTTTGCTGCTTCTACGTTTTTAAATGATTTATGATCTCAATCAGAAGCATTAAAGTTTTCGGCAACGCCTGATAAATGAAATATGTACGAAGAAATTTTAACGAATACTTCATTCAATTTGTTACGTATACGCCATGTCACGCAGCAAAACGATGACACCAATAAAATTTCTTTCACACATACCGTTCCAACGATTCACAGTAAAACCAGCAACAACAACAATGATAGCAATCACAATATAGAGATGGCAATAATCGTCTGCGAGCATTCCAATAAGAGCAACAACCACAACTGCACAGTCTAACGGACAAAGAAACAAAAGATTGGAACCCGCTGCGTGCGTATCGCATTCACAGAAAATTGGATACATTTTCAAAGTGGTCGCTAGCAATCATGGCGTCGAGTGGAATGAATGTGTTGAATTGAACGCACTCATGTAACAATGACACCGCAAATTCAGACATGCACAAGTACATATATAGGTACATGTAGATATAGTATGTCTGTGGATCGTCCGCGTTTTGGGGGGCTTTCGCCTTACCTCGCAGGCAATTTGTGAAAATTGCGAACGAATGCACCACTTAGCGGTCGAGTGACAACAGTCGACATACTCTTATAAACATACATATGTATATACATACTCATCCATACATATTTTTTTTGTGAATGTGTACTTTAACAAGCAGATTTACATTTTGCGTCAAATTTTGCGTCACTTGTCCGCTTGTGTGGGTATATGTGCTCACCTACATACATATATGTACGTATGCCTTGATGTATGTAAGTGTGTGTGTGTGAATATCTCTAACCCCTTGTTGTTCGTTTGTCTCAACTTTTCTTATTTTCCTTTGCGTTTTATGCTTTTACCGTTGTTTGTTTTTATGTGAGTTGGCTTATTGTTATCCTACCTATTTGCTTCCTCGCTGAATGGCTGCGTTTCACTGGCGCTGTTTTGCGCTTGTTAACCTTTGTGCTGTTGCCGCAGGAATATTCGGTTGCTATCTTTTTTGACTTTTCATCCTTTTATTTGACTTAAAGTTTTTAAGTTGTACACCAAATGCATGTACATAAGTACTACAGGCGGTCTGTGGAGTTGTTGATTATACACAGCTGAAAGCAAGACCGAAGCTGTGGTTGTTACAGGCATAAAGGTTTGCGAATATATGTCCTTTAATGTTAAAAGAGTTCTGGTTAACACAAAAGCCATTATCAAGCATTTGGATATGTTTCAAAGAACAGCCTGATTACGTTTGCGAAAAAGTTACAAAAACATGCAGCGCTTTACCAAGAATGATCCTTTTAATGCCCGTGGTAACAAAAAAAAAAAAACGAAGACGACTTTAACCCCGAGTAACAGTTGAACTATCACTAACGCCGAACAAGAATATAGCTAGAAAGAAAACTGGAAATTTTGTAGAATCGAAAATAAGTAATCTAATATCACTGGATCACAAATTTTCAAGTTTGATTTTGTTCTCCAGATGCCACCATCCAATTTGTATGTAAAATCGCTCGCTGATTCCGAAAATCGAGTTAATTTTTTACCGTTATTCAGCTTAAAAAAAGAGTGGTTCCAATTAATCAGGTATATTTTACGACCCAATTAAATAATCGTATGTAATACCAGGTACGGCAAATGATAGAAAATAAAATTATCCATAAATCGTATGTAGATGACTTTTCGATAGCCCTGATAGTTTCTGAGAAAATTAATTAGTCATTCCAGATTTTTTGTTTTTTTTGATGGAAAAATGTAAAAAATTCAAACTTTAACACGATTTTAATGATTGGTCAACTGAAAATGCGCAAGGATTTTTTGTGTGAAATATGAGCAGAAAAGAGTGTTACTCATACGCCACGTACACCAGAGTAGGTAGAGTGTTTGCATCGAAAACCAGAGGTGTCAGAAATGATTAATTAATTTCTCAGAAACTATCAGGGCTATCGAAAAGTGATATACACGCAGTTTATGGAGAATTTAATTTGCTTTCATTTCCCGTATCTCGTGTTACCATTATTCAATTGGTTCGTATAATATACGTGATTAAGTGAAACCACTATTTTTTAAAGTTGAGTAAAGGTAAATATCTCGAAAAGTTTAGCCATAGAAAAAAAGTGATCTCGATTTTCGGAATCACCAAGGAGTTCTACATTGGGAATTGGATAGTGGCATCCATAGAACATTTTTGCTGTAAACCCGTGTAACCTAAGGGATAACAGTTAGGGTATAGGAAAAACATTGTGCAATAACCTTTCTTTAGTATCCATAATATTGCGCTTTTATTTTCCAAATGAAAAAATACGATTAAAAATAGGTGGTGCGACAGGTTACTATTTTTCGGTATCGTTTTGGCGCCCTAATGGAGACTTCTTTCCCAAAGCATTAACACACCGCCGACAGTCAGCTGCTTTTTTCTTTACACTGAGCTTTAATTAACCTCATTAGTTGCTAGTAGGATTTGCTCCTATCGGCTGAAGTGAAGGAAGTTAGGGAGGAATGAAGGGAAAAACAAAAGAAAACTTCGTTGCAGCCAGTAAACGACAAAGTTGGCCCTCACATGAACTTATACTTCTTTATCTGTTGGTTTATACATATTTTTAAAGCAAAAGTTTGGTTCGTTTTTTGTTTTATATTTTCTTAGATATTCGTAAGATTTAAATTTGTTTATGTATTTTTGACTTAAAGGTTCCGAAAAAGTACTAGAAAAATTCCGAAAAAATTTAAAAAATTAAACCCTGGGAAGCATTCCGAAAGATCCCGGAAAGTCTCAGATAAATCTCGAAGGAAACTAGGCAATTCCGAAAAAAGAAGAGAAGGGAAAAAGCTCTGAAAAAGTACAAAATCCCGAAAATTCTCGAAAAAATGGTGAATGCTCAAGAGCTCATTTTCTGCCATATGAAATAAAAAAAGCAATAATTCCTGCTGATACTAACGAAAGTGAAATTTTTAAAAGGTATGAATAAATCTTCTTCTTCTTATTTGGCGCTGTAACCGCCTAAGCGATCAATTTTATCCTACAAAAAGAGGATCGAAAATGTATTTTTGAAAAAAAAAAACGATGCGACAAGGTGCCTTTTTGTTTTCGAAATCTAAAGAAAGCTTCTATAAAAGGCCACGTCAAAATCGCTCATGAAATGTGCTTTGAAGATCAGAATAAGGGTTGGAGAAAGTATTGGTTTAATTTACCATTTTAACTACTTTGCAACTAATTTTAACATTGATTTCGAAAAAGTCCGTTCTATTAATATAAGTAATTAATGTTACACGCGTTGGGAACAAACAACCTTTTGTTGGTTCTTCTTTTTATATGGTTTCGTCAATCTTTTCATGCGTTTTGTTTCGCTTCCCGACGTTTTTTATTACTTATTATGCCTACTTTTTGTTGCTACTACAGATTGTGATTGTCTACATTGTTGGCTATTGAGTACATGTATATCGTCGTTTAAAGTACAAAACCACGTACGTGAGGTTGCATAAATTATTTTCTACAGAGTAAAAATACTCATATATCAAAATGGTTCTGTTTTTTTTTTACAAAGCAATCGCATTTCTGTCTAGTATATTTCAGGACGAATGGATAAGGCTTGCGCCAAGAGCTTCGGTGAGCAAATCCAATTGTCGGCAAAAAAGTCAGTTACGCGATTTTGCAGAATGACGATGCGCGGTTTTGTACTTTAAACGACGAAACATATGTATGTGTGTATTGTTATGAATTTTCATTTAATTGTGATTGTTTTCATTTATTTGCTCTTTTCATTTCGACTTTTGTGTTATATTTTCTTATTTCCGCGATTCATTTCTTTTTATTCCCTTGTACAGTAGGATAATGCTTGACCTTTGTTGTTGTACACTTTTTAACGGCATATTGATTATGCGATGGTATTGTATTACTGTTGACAATTTCATAGTAGTCCTTTCTATTGTATGTAGCACCGAGGGGCTACGTGCCCCGCATACATGCATCGCGCTTACGTTTCAAGTATCTGAAAATAAAAGAAAAAGCAGAAAAAGAAATTGTATTAGGCACTCAAGAAAATTAAATTATTATTATTTGTTTTTCTGTTATATTCGTAAATATTTCTGTTTTGGCTTACACGTGTATAAACGAATATACATAATTCATTCCAATCGTAAATCGTGAAATTTGAGAGACTATTCAATTCAATAGAATTCAAATTAATACTAAGTAATAGGAATATGTAAATATTAATGCGTATTCTAATTTACGTATGATTGGCAATGGTGTGAATTTGCATAATCAAATTCAGAGATATAACTATTACTAGAGAAAATAATAATAACATTGTACAATAATTTTGAACTTTTTTAAAAGTCCAAGAGGTTCCAAAAATGTAAATGTATCTGGTGTACTTTGGCATATTTTTTTTTTTTTTATGCGAAAAAATGAAAGAAATTCAAACTTTAACAATACCAATACCTTACCTCGGATAAGGAGCAATCTACATACCAAAATTCGTTGGGATATCTAAATTTTGGTTCGAGTTATCGTGTACACGCATGGATGGACAGACACACATGGTTTAATCGACTTCTCTATTCATTCTTAGCATTTATGTATACATTTGTCTATATCTATGTATCTCGATTCGTTTTCACTGTTACAAACAACCAAGTGCGCTCGGGTATAAAAATTGGCAGGAAAGAATGTTGCTCATACGCCACGTGCACCCGAGTAACAGTCTTTTGTACGCTTATTTCATACAAAAAATCCTTACGCATTTTCATTTGAGCACTCATTCCCTTCTTATTTATTCAACGATTTTCTTCATTCATTCGTCGATAACTATTAGTATAAAAGACTTTTCACAATAATTGCACAGTGTAACAACTATTTTAGGGCCTCAACCAACCCAACTTCAAACGTTGGCATCCATTCGTGGTAGTCAAACCCCAAGAAGAATTAAATCCACTTAATTTTTACGCCGCCGAGCAACGCCGCCGCCACCGCCGTTTTTTGTCATTCGTCTTGTGCCGACGCCGAGTTATGAAAACATCGCCATCGGGGATGCGTTCGGCACCTAAGGAATTTTGTA